ATTAGTGCCCTGTGATCGAAATCACTTCCCCAAAACTTTTAACACCTAAGACTCTGGGGGACATTCCAGATCCAAACTGTAAGAGATCCTAATGGTATTCCCACACACTGGTGGCTAAGGCAGGAGGAGGAGCGGAGACCCTGAGGACAAAGAATCATGCTTGCTCTTCTCCATTTCAACTGGTAACATCCTTCCTGCTCATCCCTCCAACACCGTTATTTTGAGATGTAAGTTGTTATGGTGGTTAGAGGGGCCAACAGCAAACAAGGGTGTTAATAGCTTCCTATGGACAGGAGTACGAGCCACAAAACTTGTGAAAGTTCACCCTGTCTGTGGCCTTGAGATACAATCCTCCTCTGAAGGAGCTTACATAGTTGGTCCCTGAGTCCTCTGAGATTCTGACACTTGACCCACACCATTACCCATTACCCACTGCCCTCTGATCCCATGGAACCCACAAAAAATGGAAGCAAGGTCCTGATGCTGGCACTATCAAATGAAGCAGGGAACAGGGTGAGCAGTTAAGAATGTATCACCATACTACTAGGTAGAGACAACAGGAAGGAAGAATGGAGGGTGGAGAGGAAAGACGCAAATCATAGCAGTAAGACGCAAATCGTAGCAGTAACAGCTAATATTTACTGAGAGTTTATCATGTGCCAGGTGCTTCACATGTGCCTACCAAGGAGGAAACTCAGGTCTGAAGAGCTTACATAGCTACCTAAGGTCGTTGACTGTGAAGTGGCAGAGCCAGAGCTGAACCCTGGTGGTCTGAGCATGGAGCTCACTCCCAGGCCTGGACACGGGCTTTGAGAAACACCCAGAGGGAAGAGACTAAATGACCACAAGGAGAGTTATTGTGATACAGTGAGAGGACACCGAACTTGGTTGGAATCAAAGGCTGGGTGGGGTTTGAGCCATGTAGCCCTACTGTTATTTATGTAACTTTCTACTGGTCACTCGCTATATCTGAGTCCTGGTTTCCTCACCTGTGACGCAGAGTAGAAATTTTCAGTCTGGCTTCTGGGGTCTGGGCAAGTTTTAGCAAACACTGAAGGAGAAACTAAGGAGGTAGAGATAAAGCAGTGCTCCCACTTCAAGTAGAACAGCACTATTGTGACCTGCTGAAATGGGGGATTGTGTAATTCCTCAATGGGGCAGAAAAAAGTTCAGTACTGAAAAAATCTGTTTGAGAACCCCTAGACTAGATATCTCAGAGGCCACTTCCATTTTAAGTGATTTTGTTTCTAATCTCAAGTAGGGTGTTGACACTGAAGAGTTAAAATGACACCAGATGTCTAGAATGGGGATAAGTAAAAGGCTCTAATGAAGCCAAAGAGCCCGTCCGGTTTATTTGCTCAACAAATAATCGGCAAGAGTCAAAGCCTGGCACTACAAATCTCTTTTATCCTCTTCTAGAATATGAGCATAAAGCAGAGAACACAGGAAATTTTTAATTTGTACATAAGGTGTGGTCTAAATGGGGCACTTTTCTTTTTCAAGGTTTGGGTTCCTATCACCGTTTTATTATGTATTAGATAATTTTCCTTCCTGGAAAGGAGGGCAGACTTCAAGCTGCTTCTTGGCTTGGTTATATGGACTCTGATCACATTTTCCCAAAAGGATAATCAGGGTGGAGTTGGAATGGAAGATATAAGATCAGCTGCGGGAGAGGGGAAAGAGGGCAGGATTCTCTTGGTGGAAAGTCAACCCTTGGAAGAAAAGGAAAATATGAAAAGTGAAAAAACATGTATAAGGATAGAAAGGGGGAATTGATACTAATAAGACAGGAAAAAGGGGATGAATATATTTGAAAGACTAAATATGGGGGGCAGGGCACTGGGGGAGGGGATCAAACCCAGGGCCCACACATGCTAGGCAAGTGCTCTAGCACTGAGCTACATCTCCAGCTTCAAAAAATAAAATACTTTTTTATGGTAAGTTGTAAGTGGGAAGAGGAATGGGGAATTCCTGGTATTCAAGGAAAGTAAAGAGGTAGTAGGGAAGAGGTGTTAATTTAGGCCTGCTATTCCCCCAAGTGTGATTCACAAAGCATTTGTCACTTGAGATGATTCTTCAAAAACAGTTCTCTGATTAGACAAGCTTGGGAAATTCTTCTGGGGATAACAGTATGCCAGTGCACACTGAAGAATCTGCAAGAATGAGATCTGAGTTCCTCAAATGTATATAGGAACCCTGGACTGGGTATCTCAGAGGCTATATTGATTTTAAGAATTATTTCTCTCTAATCTTAAAGGGCAGGGGCATCTTAACCAGTGTCCAGTATTAGCTAACACAGTGGTTCTGCTGGTCCATGCTAGGTTGATTAGTTATGCCAACTTGGATTTGGATAGGCAGTGGCATGTAGCTAGTGTAAAACATTCAGAAAACTATTATTTCAAGCCTGCTGTATATTTACATAAATTTTGTTACAGGTACTTAAGCTAATGGCTTAATTTTACTGATCCAATATTTGTTCTGACTTCAGTTAAACAGGGCATGCTCACATTTACCTAAAATTCAACATAGCTATACATTAGCATGTTCTCCTCTTGTCTTCCTTGACCACGGGCAGCTGAATTTAAAAATTCAGCAGCATCATTAACTCACTTTTATTACCTTCTTTATCAAATATGTGTTTTAATCTAACTCTATACTACCCAGAGCACAACGGTCTATCATCTGCTCAAAGCAGATGTGTGGAAGGCCATCAGACGCCTTGCTGAATAAGATCTGACCAAACTGTGTCTACAGTGTATCACTCAGCTACTGGTATAACAACTATCAGAGAGAGAAAAAAAGATGCAGTTGGCATATCCTTGCTGGTGCTTGGTAATGATGACTTCTTCTAGGTGCTCACTGCCATTGTTTTAATAATGAACAGGATCCTGAATCTTGCTATGATCAATGTGTTAAATGGCATTCCAAGCCTGTTATATTATCTATATAAATTGTGTTGTAGGTACTTAAACTGATGGCTAAATTTTACTGTATGTTTTATACTGTATTTAATATTTGAGATTAATGTGGGAGAATAATTAATTAATTTTATTTGTTCTTTTTGGTTACACAGGACAGTAGAATTTATTCTGACATATTTATACAAACATGGAGTAAGTCTTATTCTAATTGGGATCCCAGTCTTGTGGATGTAGGAGGGGAGAGGGGGTGGGGGGTGGAGAGAAGAGAAGTTAAGTGGATTAGACAAAAAAGAACGAAGGGAAGGGAGATAGGAAAGACAGTGGAATGAATCTAACATGACTCTCCACATCATGTACTCCACCAGACAAATGCTTCTTGACAGGACTTTCTGAAACAAACACTTGCTGGATTGAAGTGACCTGGATTTTGCAGAATATTTATCTGTTTACTCTTACATTCTCTAGAATTCTTCCAAGATGAATCACAACTTTGTGGCTGTCTTGTTTACAGGTATTCATAGGACCCTGATCTATACCTTACTTAGTCAGCAGCCTCAAGGGCTTTGCCACCCCTGCTCTTCTATCTTCAATTTCCTTGTAATAGGACTTGTTCTGCCCTTCTCTGGCTGATGGGCTCAGCTCTACCATCTGGCCCTAGAGACTCTGGAGATTTCCCATTCCACTGATTATTTCCATCTCCAGGAATGTAAAGGTTCCTTTCTTCCTTGAGGTCCCCATTCACGGGCTACAGCTGAAATGCTCATCTCTCCCCCAGCCTTTAGAACCTAATTTACATCCCAGTTCTTCCAGGTCACCGCTCTTTCCTTCCTCTGAGCTTTAAAGCACTTGGCAGTTACCACCCAATCACATGCTATTTGGGATTGATAACAAATTATTGCCTGGAAAGGTCCCACTTGCCAAAAGTGGGTTGGAAACTTCAGGACAGGTAAGACCGAGAATTTAGACTTCTTGAGACTCTCTCTGTAATAACTGATGCAGCTCCATGCCACAGCAATCCTCAGAAGTGCTGAATGGACAGACTGTTGTTTCAAGCTTCTCTTATGGTCCAAGGGAAGGCACACAAAGTTCCTCTATTTTAATGGAAGCAGTAAACTGCCAACAATCTTACTACTTCAAGATGACCCAGAGTGCATCTTGAAATGAAAGTTGGACATGGGCATTGTAGAAATGAGCATACTCTTGTCTCTTCAAATGAATTTCAATGAAATTTGGTAAATCAGATGTGTCATTGCACCTAAGAGATTACAGCCTAAGGACATGAATTTAAATATTTGGGATAAACTGAAAATACCAAAGTTATACTCTTGGAAATATAATAATACTCCTCAAGCAGACTGGAATAAACAAAGTAATTTCAATAAAAATGCTCTTAGATCAGTCTGATTCTCCAGGTTGTGGTTATGGGGGCTGATGGTGCTGTCAGCATCAGTTTCCTAAGCAGGACTAAAGCCCAGCACACGCACAGATCAGATATACACTGAGAACTCTTTCTCAGACTCAGCCCAGTCCACAGGCCTCTCAAATGGCCTTGAGTCAGACTTTCCCAGAAATTCACCAGGGGCTGGCATGCAGGCATGTGGCCTCAGCTCAGCTCTCTGTCTCCTGTGGGTGCCCCAGAAGACATTGTCTGACTGGATAAATTCTAAAGCTTCCTAGAAGTCTGATATCTAAATGGGCAGTTTTTGTTTTTTAAAAATAACAGGGAAGTATACAGCTACCCAAAGACAGGAAATAATCAGTGATTTACTTTGGGATAATTAGGGTTTGCATTTTTGTCTCTCAATTTTGCTGGAGGGCTAACTTTCAAAAAAAACCCAAACAAATATGCAAAAAAACACCCCAGCAATTCCCCTTAGTTAACAGAGCTTATAGCAACAAGCAAGGACATTGTTTGGCATTTAGCTCATCTATACGGCTTAAATAAAGTAGTGGTGGTACCACTGGCTCTGCACGATAAAATGCAGGTGTCTAGGAAATCACTCCCCTTCTCCCGCCACTCATTATACACATATGGGCACATATACTTTTCCTCCCTCTTTACATTTTTCCAGACCTCACCTGGTTGATAACATAAATGCCATAATCCAGCTGCTGGCGCTGCAGGATTGGGTGCAAGTAATACAGCCAATACTTGAGGTGCTCCTGCCGGTTGCGGAATGGAATAATGATGGCCACCTTGTGAGGAGAGATGCAGTCCTTGGGGGTGTAACGGCCGCCCACCTTTACCTCTGGGTTCTTCTTTGCCAAAAGTTCCAGATCCACAGGAATGTTAAATTCAATCAGCATGGGGCCAACTAAAGAGATGGAAGGAAGGGGAAGTTAGTAGCTCACTCTATTCTGCAAACTACATCAGATGACCAAACCCCACCTACAGAGGAGACATCTCCTTCTGGGCAGCAGTGTGGTCATGGAAAGGGTGCCCAGCAATAGGTAACACTAGGGTGAAATATCATCTCAGGAAATCCCTAAGTGCTGAAAGCCCTATGTTCTAGCAACAACCCATGCCCACTCCAGAGCTGGGCAAACCTTAGGTTACCCTATGGCGCACTTCAGACTCCACTGGAAAATGGAAATAATTTTGCTCAGACTTCCTGACAGGCCATTGTAAGCATGAGTAATCATAGATGAGAAAGCACTTTCTCTGCTGGATGCAGTGGCACCTGCCTATAATCCCAGCTACTCAGGAGGCTAAGGCAGGAAAATAACTAGTTCATGTACAACCTGGGAAATTAGACCCTGTCTCAAAATAAAAAGTAAAAAGGACTTGGGATATAATTCTGTAGTAGAGCATCCCTGGGCTCAATCCCCAGTACCAAAAAAGAAACTCCTTTCTCAAAAATCTTATATTTGAGACCTAACTCTGTCACTAGCCAGCTGGGAAGTCTTATACAAAGGACTGATGTAGCTCTCTAAACTTGTTTTGAGGAGAGGGGTGTGTGTGTAGGTCACTGTGAAGGACCCCAGCTGCGGATCAGAAGGTAGTGGGGAGTAAAGGGACATGATATAGAGGTTAACCAAACTCCATAGGGAGAGGCAATTAGACCACAAAAGAGACTGAGGGGAAAGAAAAGAAACCCCTGGAAAGAACAAAAGCTTAGAAGCAGTAGTGGGAACTGTCACCAAGAGGATGAAGAAAGTTAGAAAAATCAGAGATGCCTCCAAAATTTCTGGCCTGGAAGAACATGGATCCAGATCAGATCACTAAGAGATCTCTCGGCTCAGAAGAAACAATGATGAGCTATGGTCGGTAGATACTGAGGTAGTGAATATAGAGGCAAAGTAAAAAGTTGAGGTCCAGATACAGGGCATTTGGCACACACGGTGTAGTCCAGGAACACACAGGAATCAGGGATAGAGCCAAGATGTAGACCCAGGCTCACAGTACTCACTGTACATCAGCCTTCCTCTCAAATGGGTTCCAGGAAATAGGCTCAGTGGGAAGACATGTCCCTGGTCAAATCAGGTTGGGAACCCTGCTTCTGGAAAAGCATGACACACACCAAGGGCTCTGAGGAACTGTGCAGTCAAGAAATTCCTTTCACTTTATTAACCCATCATTTCCCAAACTTAGTCACAGGACCGTTTTGTCAGGAAATACATTTTGGGCACTGTTAACTGCAGTGTAACTGGCCTCACCTTTGAAGCACTAAACAAAGCCAGGAAGCTACAGAACTACAGAACGGGGTGGGAATGCTAACCACAAAACTAACATCAAAGTTCACCTGAAAAGTACTGGTGAGAACCAACCACCCACAGCCAGGCCCAGTGTCCTCAGTCTGCCCTGTTTCAATAACCTATGGCTGCTGCCCATGCAGCCCTTGTGCCCTGGGAAGCACTCATCCTCCTGACAGAAGGAAGCTGCGAGCCATCTCCTCTTGCCCAACAGCAGGTATAACTCACAAGCAGCCACCCCCTCCTTTCCTTAGCACACTCCTCACATCTTCCCTCCCTCATCACTGACCCAGTTCCATCATCACAGAACCTGTTGCTATTGGTTCATTTTCTTTGAGACACAGCTCTGATCACTTCACCTTCCCGGTAAAAACCTCCAATGGCTCAGAAGCTGTATGGCTTTGTACAAGAAAATGTCAAACCCCTCCTTAGCTGGGCACCAAAGCCCTCAGCTCTGTCTGCCTCCATCTCCTACAAACAAGTTGATGTCCATACCTTTCCCTTTGCCAGAAATGCCCTTCTCTCTATCCTTGAATGGGTACACTTTTGCATTCAGAGACAGGTCTCAACCAGGCTTCATCTTTTACTCTCTTCATTGCCACAGAGCTGAGGCAGTAGAACCCCTGAGGTAGATCTGCTCCCCAAACTCCCAATGCCCTGCTATCTCCCTGGCCATGATCTCCCTCCTGGACACCAGGGGCCTCATAGATCAGTCTCTCTCACAAGACTGCTGCTGACTGCCAAGATGCCCTCAGGTGAGCAGTCACTATTCTCTGGATGTAAGTCAGTGGTCATCCTGGACCAGTTTTTCCCAAACCTATCATCAGAATCTCCTGAGGCAATTGGTACAAATATAAAAATATTAAGCCCCTCCCTAAAGAATCCAACTCAACAGATCTTGAGAAGGACCTAAGTGGATAATTAACAAGGAGCCCATATGATTCTTACTGGGAAAACTGGGCAATAAGAAGCTGGATGGCTCATCTTCATAAGTCTTGGGACTTTCAGGCAAGAGAATCCACATGGATTTCCACCACTTTACCCTTCCCACAAGATCTGCCAGGCCTGGGCTGCTTAACTTCCCAAACCTATGCAAAGACCTTGAGAGGACCTGTGACACAATGAACTCATGAAAAACATGAAAAGAACATCACTGGGTTTTTCTCACTTCAAAGGAGTTGTTTTCCTCACAACATCTGCAACTAACCCAACCTTTGGTTCTGAAGATGTATTACTAAACAACCCCGTTTTCCGGGAACTCAAGAAGCATCTGGACTGTTACCCTACCAACTTGTTCACAGCTTCTGAAACCAACCAAGAAGACAGGAATTCACATGTGGCCTGCCCAACCTCCCCAGAGCCAACACCTGCAGACCAGAAAGTGTCTTAGTGTTGCTCCCTGTAAGTAGTGCAGAAAGGTGGTCCTGAAGTAAAGAGCCCCAGAAATGAGGAAGAGATGCCTGGACCCTGTCCAGCTCTACCAGTGCCTTTCTGGATGATCCTTGGACAAGTACCATCCACTCTCAGAATACTGGTTTTCCCATTTGTAAACTGCAGGATTTTGACTAGATGAACTCTAAGGTCTCATGAAGCCCTGACATGCCCAGATACTTGATAAACTAGAAGAAAGGGTCCCAAACCAAGATCTTCTGAAAATCTTTGTTCTCACCTTCTCTGTCCCCAAGAATGACAGGATAAAACGATGAGAGGTAGAAAGAAGCCCAAGCATCACATTCCCCCATGTTCCTTCCTACCTTCCCACCCATGCTTTCTCAAGTCTTTCTTTGATGTCCATCTTTGCCACCTTCTTTTATTCTCCTTCAATATTGTCCCTTCTCACTCATCCAGATCTCTGCTTTAAGCATGTGACAGTTCCCAAATCTGTCTCCATCCCACATTTTCTCCTAACCCCACAGCCAATAGGACATGACTAGCTATGTGCCATGGACACCTTAAACTCAATTTGCCCCAAATGAACTCTTATTTAAGACCACCATCAGTGGGGCTGGGGATGTGGCTCAAGTGCTAGCACGCTTGCCTAGCATGCATGAGGTACTGGGTTCGATACTCAGCACCACATTAAAAAAATAAAATAAAAAAAATAAAGACCACCATCAACATCTAAGGCCTGAATGGCTGGATTCTCCTTCAGGGTTCCTTCAGCAACTGACACTGTTGTTCACCCAGCAAAGGAGCTGATACTTGACACCTGGATGGTCCAAATTTTCCAGTCCTCTTCCTCTTTCTCTAAGCTTAGACTTGCACCTGTGTATACACGTTTTCTCACCTATCTCCACCCCCACACGCAGAGATGTAGAGGACTCTCCTCTCTCTCTGCACCGTGGCTGCAATGAACTCAGCAACTTTCTTCCACCTTTCCCTTCCACCAGTGTTCTACCTCACCTTGAGCCTACAGCAATGGAACCAGTCAACCATGAACTGAACCTCTGAAAACAAAGTTTTTCCTCCTCTTAAAAAACAAACAAAAAAACCCAAAACAGGTATACACAGCATGCTGACAATTCATGGGAGCCCATCAAGTATGAAACCAGAATCTTTATTCTGAAATGTTTTTCTTTTTTTTTAAACATTTATTTTTTTAGTTGTAGGTGGACACAATACCTTTATTTTTATGTGGTGCTGAGGATCGAACCCAGTGTCTCATGCATGCTAGGCAAGAGCTCCTCCTCTGAGCCACACCACAACCCCAGCCCCTGAAATGTTTGTTTTAACACAAACTCTTCCTGTGATGTGTTAAGACCACTTTTGATTTGTTTCAATCAATATTTTCAGTGTACCAATTCAGTACCTAGTGTATTAGCCCAAGAGGAGTGGATTGAGGGAGGGATAATGGACAAAGATAATTTCTGCCTTCTAGGGGCTCCCTGCTGAGCATGTCACAAAACCTATATGAAAATTACCCCCACAGCTGGCTGAGGAACTTTCTCCTCCAATGGCTCCACCCAGAGCTTTATCACTGAATAGTCTCTCCCGCTCCCCTCTGCATCCCTCTCACAACCCCAATCAAGTCTCGAACAAACTGAGAGCACCTGGCCCCCAATCCTGCCTTCCTTGCCCAATCTGGTAATTCTTTCTCCACTCCTCTCTCTGAAATCTCTACAGCTCTGGGAATTCTGCAGCGGGTCTGGGAAAGCTTTCTAGGGGAGGTGATGTTTTAAGCTGAAGCCAGGCAATTATTGGATTCGGTGATATCAAAGTCTTGGACACCTCAAGACACCTCTGCAGCTCACACTGCTAAGACTGAAGAGCTCACAAATGCAGCATACCTGAAGTTGAAGGTCTTCTTGGGTCCAATGCCAGACAGGAGGCCTCCCTGAGTACCCCACATACTTCCTGCCATTCTGCAGAGGTTGATCTCTGTCATGCACCTGGTTCAGTCCCAATGAGAACACCTAGAGAGCTCATTCTCCAGGAAGAGACGATCAACACAGTTCAGAATCATGCAAACCTGCTACTAGGTCTCAGAGCCACTGCCTAGGGCTGCAAGGGGAAACTACAGGAAGACGCAGAGAGCTGAGGGCTTCAAGACAGTCCTTAGGCCGGGCCAAGGTGCCCTTGCTGTGAGGCGCATGGCGTGTGCTACCACAGGCCCTCGGCCCTG